CTAGTGAGACGTCACGTGCCAGCTTTGTCCTGTTCTTTCTCGGTGAATCTCTCTGCTTTGTCCTCTCCCTCACGTGGCTGATGGTGTTTTTAGGAATTTCCCGTTGCCTCATATGCTTCTCTTCCAGGCCCAAGCGGCCGTGCTGTCACGGAGAGCTTGTTCTCAGGTCTCAGCCTAGGTGTGGAAGTCCTGTCATGGCCTCTGTTCTCGGGGAAACCCCTGCCCCCCACATCCTACACTGCTGTCTCCACTGCTCACCCTTCCGGTCATCCTGAGGTCAGTGCTTCACGCCACAACCACCTAGGCCAGTGCCCTTGTCCGCTGCTCAGACCCCTTTGTAAGTTTTCAGTGTGGTTATCGTTCATTCCCTGCCAGAAATTTCCTTTTCTGCCACTTTGGTGGGGTCTTGGGAGGAAAAGCATGAAGATGTATACTTCATCACCATTGTCAGTTAAAAGCCTCTTTTAGGTCCCTGTTAGCCACAGGGTTCTGTACCTTGAACACTTCTAACCCTGTGGGTCTTTCTTTGCGTGTGGAGAACATTGCTCAGCATTATCAAACAACTGGGAAGAAATTAACTGAGCCAGTTCCAGTGAACTTGTCAGCAGCCTGCCTGAGATCCGTTGCGAGACTTCATTTGATAGTATGTCCGAGTGCTCCAAGAACTTAGAAAGATCTCGAGTAGGTTTGTTATACTTCCCTCGATAGTACGTTGCGAGTTAGTTAAATTACACATTCTCTGAGCCAGCTCAGTGCCAGTAAATGAAACGTCCGTGCCCCACAGAAAGTGGGCGGGGGCGGGCCGGGCCTGTGTGTCTGTCCGGCAGTGAGTGTGGAGATGATTTATGATGCTGTTTATGCTACTGTTAAGTTTGCTTATTGGAAAACTGGTTCACAAAGAGGTGACATTTTCATCACGGTGCCCACAGACAGCCCGTATTAAACTAGTGTCAGTGATGAAACAAAACTCACCTAACGACACAAGTGAGAGCGGTGGCAGCTGAGCTCCACGACAGACAAAGGCAGCCGTCGGTGAGGAACTGTCCCTTTGGAAGTGGCGGGCTCACGGCCTCTCCATTCAGGCGAGCCGTGGGGCCAGCTCTGCTGCTGAGCGTGGACACCCCACTTCTTGGGATCGAATTAGACCTGTCAGCTCTAGTAGCACCCCCGGTTTGGGTTATGAATTCTGAATTTTAGTGCCCCTTAACAACCCACTTCATAGGCCACCATTGAGTAGCCATGGTTGTACTGGAAAAAGAAAGGCTGTGAACTTCTGCTGGTTCAGCGTCGGGGAAAGGACGGGGTTCAGGTTGGCTCACAGCCCCTGGGGGGCTGAATCGGGGCTTCTCTGCTACACCAGCGTGGAGGCCAGAGGCTTCTCTGAGCATCGGAGTGAAGCTACTACACTGTCACCAGACAGACACCCCGGGCGCATCAGCACCATGTCCTGTGTAATTCTACTGTTCGCCTGGGCTCCGCAACCCCTCGGCGAACCCCTGCTCCGGTCACGACTGGGGAGCAGCAGTTTCTGTGCTCGCAGTGTCCACCAGGCAGCCGTCCCTTTGTGGAAACTAACTCAGGAGGGCCACGGCGCCCAGGGGTCCCCCTCTGGCCTTATCCTTTGGCGGCTCCGCTTATGGCAACTCCCCAATGGCCGTGCTGGAGTCTTTGCAGGGCACCGTGCCCAGGCGCCCCCGGCGCCGGTGCCTCTTCTTGCCTGGTGGCCTTTCCTCCCTTCAAGGAAGGGAGGTGCGGTCACCTTATGTACTTGGTCATCATGTCCGTGATTGGCAAAAAACATTTCAATGTATCCACTCCTCTTTTTCCCCTGTTTTCAGTTAGTTCCCAGAGGTTGAATGCATTTTTGTAAGAGCTGCATCAGGTTCACGGTACAAATGGAGATTTAGGGAAAACACCGACTGGAACTACTAAGGAGTCTAAGGGAAAGCACTCGTGAGTGGAGGTGCCGCTGCTGATGGGGCACAGTGATTTATATTTCTGAACGCTCAGCCAGCTGTGCAGCCTCGGTGTGTGCATGTTTAACTTGGCTGGGAAGCACTATCTTTTATATAGTGCTAGATGTAAGCTTTTACATCTCTGCTCGTAAGAGATGCTGACCACTGATTTTTAATCCCTGGACATTGATGGCAGGCCCCCTCTCTAGGCGGCCTGGCCCCGTGAGAAGGGTCGGGGAGCCCCCCTCCCCCTCCCCCGAACGGTCTGTGGGGTCCGCACGCCCACGTGCCGCCTGCTCCTACCTGCATCCTTGTCTGTGCTGACTCTCCGGCACCCCTTTCCTTCTGTGTCTCGTGGGGTCTCTCCTAGCGAGGGTCCGCTGCGAGCAAAGTTTCCCGGCTGTGGCTGGTTTGCAGTCGTCCTACGTGTCCTTGCAGAGAGACTTTTGTGGGGTCTGGCAGTCCAGGTTGGCAGCTTCCTCTCTCTGCCCAGCTGGGGTCTCGCCGTCCCCTGCCGACGCCTCCCAGGTGTCCCTTCCGTTAACCAGGGCAGGTGCCGCCGCCGCCGTTGTCGAAGCTGAAGTCGCCGTGACGGCAGCTAACCTGCTTCAGAGGTCTTCACAGCCGGGACGGCTGAAAACCGCCTCTTCCACAGTTTCCTCTTTCTGACTGTCTCACGTTGGCTGTCACGTCCCGTCGCCCCCAGTGCGGGGCCGAGGTCCTTGGAGTCGTCCAGGCTCGGTTTCCTTTCTCCACCCGGACTGCCGGCCACCCAGCTGAGCCCATCGCACCCCCGAGATGTGTCTCATGTTGCCTCCCTCTGCTCCCCCCCACCACTCCCACCGCCACCCAAACGTCTTCCCAGCCTCTGGTCCCCACCCCCTGGCCGCGGGAGCTGTCTGTCTGAAAACAGCCTGGACTTGCTTTCTGACGCAGTTTCTTCCTGTCGCCCTCTGCCAGAGGCATTCCACCCTCCCTCCCTCCAGGCATCTCAGCCAAGGGGCGTCTGTCTGCCCTCCTGTGCCCCCAGGCTCGGCAACTCTGGCCCCACCTGCGTCCCCTGGCTGCTGCCCTCTGGCTTCCACCCTTCCCAGTCCGGTACCTGTTCTTAGGACTAACTAAGCACTTCAAGGAGAGGCCACTGTGAGGAATTAGGAAGCAGGCTGCTTTGTCTCAGCTGCCGTCCACCCCTCGATGGTTTACCTGGTGTGCCCTTGTCTCGAGCTATCAAACCTGTATCTTGAAATAATCGGCATCTCCGCACATCAGAGAATCTGCTCCGTTGAAATCCTTGCTTAACTGCACTCTCGTGTAATGGATTTACACAGTGGCAAGGTGGAAAATGAGAGTACTTATTTTTTGGCAGAGTGAAGCCTTAATTTCCAGTCTAATTAAATTATAACGATGAATATCATTTAAAAGAAAACACAACTGCTTCACTTAATCAATATGATTATCGCCAGCACAGCCAATCAGTCCATCTGGTGCTGAGTGATACGTTTATTTCACTACGACTGGCTCTGTGCTTGCTATTAGGGTTAGGCGTGTTCAGCCTTACACAGCCCCTGTTTTAACCAGCATGGCTCTGGCATTTGAAATTCCTCGTGTCAGGAGACAGTCGGATGGGACCTATTGCAGAAGCCTCTCCGGTTTGACTGAGTTGGGGTCACCCTGTTTTCAGGGGGCAACGTCCTGAGCCTGGGAGCGTTCGGCAGAAGAAGGCTCCAGAAAGGCGCGAGGCTGGGTCGCCCACCCGAGTGTGTCAGGAGCTGGGGGTTACAGAGCAGCCCGGCTGCTGGGGCTTTCTGCTCGTCCCACCCTACCCCCGTGTCCGCCCCCCCCCCGGCCCCCCCCGCCCCGTTCAGGCTTCTAGGTGTCCCACCTGGCGGATCCGGGCGATGGAGAGGGAGGCGGGACCACAGCACTCAGCTGCTCGCTGACCCAGCTTCCGGTCCCCAGGCCATGGCTCCCTGCCGCTTCCTCCGCGGGTTCTCTCTGGCTCTCTCTTGCGAGAAAGATGCAGCCTCCCCTGCCCTGACGTGGCTCACGCTCTTATCACCCTCTGTACCTGCGGCGCGTTGGCCCTCCTCTCGTCTACTGCTGGTGGCCGGCAGGTGGCCCCTGTCAGTCATGTGGTTAATCGTGTGGCAGCGCCTCGGTCCCATCACCCCTGGGATGGCCCTCGCAGAGCCCTGACACACGGCGCAGGCGGGTCCAAGCAGTCACAGCGGGGAGACGTGGAAGGGCCTTGAGACGGGTTGGTTCCGCCCCTGAGGACTAGGGGGTTGGGACAGGGGCTCTGGCCTGGGGGCACGTCCTGGCGACTGGCCTGTCTGCACAGCGGGGGCTCCTGCCCTGTCAGACGCGCCTGGTCTGCACTCCAGCCCAGTCCCCAGCGACCGCTCGGTGGGGGGGGGCCCTGGTTCCTGCCATCCGTGTTAGCGCGCAGCTCCGCCCGGAGGACTTCCCTTCGTTATCAAAGAGAAGAGAGTCGTGACACTTACACAGGTTTTGGAAGCACGTGAGCACGTGGAAACGTCCTCGTTGGTGGCTTGCTGGTTGAAACCGTGCTCCACAAACAGGGAATGATGTGCCGACGTCGAGTCCTAGCCCTGTGCCAGGAGCATGGGGGTGGCCTGGGGCTCTCGGCCCGGCAGCAGGGGTCCGGAGGAGCCCGGGCCTGTGCTTCTCTGTCTGTCTCATGCACACGCTCACCCTGCAGCAGGGAGGCTCGCACGGGCCTGGCCCGAGGGCACATGCTTGGGCCTGTGCTCGGTGCCTGCCGGCTCACGTGTGTTGGGAGCAGAAGTGGATGGTGGGTGTTCCCCGTGCAGCTGCCTGTCCTGGCCGGCGGGATAAAGGCATGATCGATGATTGTGTATCAGCCTTAAAAATAGTCATAAGAACACATTAAACATTATTTCAACTTGTATTTAGAAAGAAGATTTTTAATTCTTTATTATCAGAGTTTACATCTGAAAGGGTGAAAAGCATCTAATACTGAGTTAAATCAATCTAAATAATGTAATCCTTTTTATTACACAGAGTGGAGTCTTTCAAGTTGGGTGTGGAGAGCTGGAGAAGCAGCTGAAGAAACGCCCTGGCCACGCTCGCTCACGTTCTGATGACCTCAGCCCTACACGCGCCGACGGAGGCCTGGCCCCTGGACCAGAGTGGACACAGGAGCTGAGCTGATTCCAAGGTAGGCGAGGACCCGCAAGCATTGCTACCGTTTGCCGGATGAACAGTGAATTCTGTTTGATGGAAGCCGGTGGTCGTGGTGCCCTCCAAATGAGTTTTGTTGAGTCACCCCCAGCAGAGGTTACTGTCGCGGTGGATTCGTGGATTCCGTTGTGATGGCTCACAAGTTCCCGCACCCCCGCCCTGCATGCCTGAGTGCTGCCGCCCTCCTGAGGCTCTGCAGCCGGTGCTGCCTCTGGCCTCAGGGCAGAGGGGGTGGGTGCCTCCTTCCAGTCTTTTACCCGTAAATCATTTCCTTGGAGGTGATTAGGAAACTTCTTTAAGTTCTTACCTTTGGTGACTCTTCCGTGCTTCAGCATCTGCTTTTGAGAGAAGCTGAGACAATCGTGGGGGGTGAAGGCAAGCCCACATCTGACCGCTGACAGGGTTGCGTTTGTGCCCGGAAAGGCCCGGCTGGTTCCTGGGTCTGTAAATGCCAGGAATGTGGGGGAACTGGTTCCCAGGGAGACCCGTGAAAGGAGTTTGCTTGATCCTTGCTAATGCTCTTTCTCTGGCACCCTGGAGGTTACTTTGTCCCGGGCTTGTGCCCTGGGGTGGAGTTAATTTTCAGCCACAGATCTTCGTGGAGCCTGATCGGTCACATGACACGAGCTTCTGTGTAACTCTGTTCCTTGGAGGCTGGAATCCTGGGGCCGGCGTGGGTCTGAAGGGGACGCGGAGCCTGGTGCTGCTGCATGCAGTGAGGTTGCAACCACCTGCATGCAGCAGGCCTCGGGGTGAGCGAATGAGTCATGTGGAGGAGCAGGCACTTTTACACAGTGTACGTGTGCACCAGAGGAATGAAGTGTTTATACTCTTCTGCACGAATGAGCTGTCCTCACAGCCACAGAGAAAGTGATCAGGCCGCAGCAGCAGCACCTGGAGTGCACGCTGAGAGAGCACAGGCGAGGGCTGCAGTGACGACGTACGAGTCATGTCTGCTCCTGGCTCCGCGCTACCGGCAGGGCTGTGGGGGGGACGGCAGGCGGAGGGCTCTCTGCAGGGAGGTCAGCACCAGGGTCCCGGCGGTCCTGCTCTGGCCCCCTTTCGTCTGCCCTGTGTGGTGCCCACGTGGGGACCTTGAAGCAGGGTTCACAGTCTCCTGGTGTGTTCTGTGTATACGGGGGGCACCTGTCTTTCAAGTGTGGGGGCCCTAAACACTCTTCTTGCCTAGCTCGGGGCCTGTGCCCACGCTGAGACAGGGGCATGTCCCAGGTGGGCTGCAGACACGCTGATGCAGGGAAGGTGACGTGGGAAGGTGCAGGTAGATGGAGGTGTGTCTGCCGAAGTGTGTTCAGAGCTTTGGCGTTCGTCTCGCTGGGAACTGCAGTCCGAGGGGCCTGTCGCAACGGGCAGGAAAGGCCTGTGCAGCGCCCTGAACCTGCCCTTTGCTTTGTCCGACACGCATGCTGAGCGCCTGTGGCAGGCAATGACCAGGCCTCAGGACCAGGTAGACAGAACAACTGGTGGGGCAGAGGACAGTCCAGCTGTCACCACGGGATGGTGTCACCCATGAGAAAGACAGGGGAAGGAAGGGCAGGTGTTCTCCAAGGGGGAGGCATTGGAGCGAGGACCCAGGAGGGGTCACCGCACCGTGATGAGGGCCTGGCCTGCCTGCTCTCCTCCGACCCTGCAGGCAGCAGCAGGTTCAAGGGCTTTGGGGACACAGAGCCACCTGCTGGAGGCCATAGGCTGGGGGAAGCCAGTAGAGACGCGGAACAGCAGGGAGCATCACAACTCAATTGCCTTTGAAGTGTCAAGCGAAAACCACGCATGTGTTGTTCTTAGGAGTCCGTTGGTAATTTTCTTCTAGCTGTTTTGTGTCTGGTCTTGACTGAAAATAAGATAATAGGTGCAGAAACCTTCAGACTGATGTGTGAGAAACAAAGAGAGGGGTTTGTGGATGCAGGAAAGTCCGGCATCCTCCCGCCCTTGCTGCTTTTCAGTTTCTCCAAAGGCTTCCTCTGCAGAAGGGGTTTGTGGAAACACAGTGGTGCCCTCTTGTGGATGGTTCCTGTGCTCCTGGTGTGCAATAGAGAGTTCTGGAAGATTGCCCTGACCACCCCATCAAGCCAGCCCAGCCGTGCCCAGCAGATGTGTATGGTGGTACGGTGTCTGCAGGCGCACCTGCCTGGCTGCACAGCCACACGACCTGCAGGTGTGGGCGCAAGCATTCGATGTGCCCCCTCCTCATTGTGATGGGAGATCCACGTTCTTGAAGCTCTAGAGGAAGGGGCAGGGGTCTTTTCTTCCACTGGCACTTCCCAGGCAGAAGTGGTCTTTGGCCTCAACGTGGACAGTCTGGTGGGCTCAGGCTTGTGGTGTCTGCTTGTGCTGTGACAGCAGTGGAGAGACAGGCGGCCTGTTCTGGAGGCAGCTGCAGCAAACTTCGTGGGTTGAGGTGGAACCCAGTTTGAAAGGCGAGCCCGTGTCATCCAGGTGGTCTCATGGGGAGGTGAGCATGGGGCAGGAGGGGCTGCAGTAGCCCGCTGGTCCTGGGAGGGGCTGTGACTGTAGGAGGGGGCGTGGCAGGGAGGGGCCTTGGGTGGGTGCAGGTGGGGGTGAGGGGAGAGACCAGACCTGTGTTTTATTTTAGTTTTTATCAAAGTGACACCTTCAAAGTCAGACAAATCCCATACTTTAGAAGGGCCTTTGGTAAAAAGCAATGGTCCAGAGCCCTCCCCTCCCTTAGAAGCCTCTCTGATTGGTTTTCAAGGGATGCGGCTGTTCGTGTTTCTGGATTGGTCCGTGCTGGGACCGGCTGCGGAGATCAGAGGCACAGCGCAGGGGAGAGAAGAGGCTGCCCCTCACGGTGGTGTCTGCTCTGTCTTCTCAGCAGATGGGGCTGCAGCGGCATTCTCGTGTGAGGGCCCCGCACTCCCTCTGCCCTGGTATTCCACCCGCGACGTATGAACTTACGCACAGCTGGGACGTGCGCCGGAGAAAGTACCACAAAGCCACGGGCGTGCTGTTCTTGAGAAGGTTCCCAGGGGCTGTCGAGGGACACTTCCGTTTTCATCCCGGTGGACCCGCCTTTAGCCGTGCGGCCAGGACTGGTTGTGAGGTGACGGGAAATGGGGATGCTCTGCCTCACCAAGGAAGGGAGGAGTTGGTGTCGGTTTCCAAATAATGTACTTTTTGATTCCTAAGTTTTGGACATTATCTGTTGACTTTCAGTTAGATAGAGGAGGATTTTTAGCTCATTTATACTTCTCCTTTCCTCGCATCTGCTCCTGTGTTAGGAGTGCTTTTGGCCGAAAGCAATGGAAAATGTGACCTACAGTCAGTCATGTTTTAAACAATCAGGGATTTATATATTTGTTTCATTTTAGGTAATGCAAAAAGTAGATTTTTACTAGTGTTGAGTTAGAGCACAACCACGTTAGGAGTCTGGGCCAGTGTCTCCGCAGTTCTCTTAACCATTCCCTCATGGTTGCAGTGTTGCTGCCACAGCTCCAGTCATCACATCTCCATTCAAGGCAGGAACAACTGGGAAGGAACAGACAGCGCAGCCCATGTTTGTTCTTTTTATTGGAGCATTCAAGAAGCCTCCATTATGTATTTACTTACCTCTCATTGGCCAGAACTGTGTTGGGCATCCAGCTGTCGTCACAAAGGAGGAGGGTCCCTGGGTCAGCCAGCCTCGTTCCTCTGCTGGCTCTCTCAGGACTGTGCGTGCTGCTTACCTGTCCTCGTTCCCGGGACCTCAGGCATCTCCTGGCTCCCTGCCCCCGGACACCTGGGTGCACTCGCCCCACCGTGCTCGTCTCCTCTTCTCCCTCCTCACTGTTCAGCTTCCGTCAGGGTTGTTTTGCTGCTCCTTTTCACGTGATCAAAGTAAGACATTTCATTTTAGTCTGTACCCAGAGTTCAATCAGTTTCAGACCCACGAGCGGCGTCTGGGTTCCTGTCGTGATCAGTAAGCGTTGCTCGTCACAGAACCAGGGGAAACGCATGGGACCGTAGTTCCTCCTCCGTGTCCCATACCAGGGCGTCTCTGCGGGCAAAGGAGCCCGTCAGCCTGCTTTCCCTGTCAGCACCCTCGATGGCCCAGGGTCGTCACCCACATTTGATTTTCACTGTCATGGGATCATGCCTTCTGGGTCAGTCTTACCTTCTCCTGCGTCCTCGCGTTGCCTGGGCGGTGGAGCAGAGGGGGAGAGTGGCTGCAGGCCTGCCCCCCCCGTGAGCACCGTGTCCTGGGCCAGCTGAACGGTCTCCTCGTCGATGCAGTGACGGCGACCACGGTGACAACGAGCGTGAACCGAGTTAGCTCGTGTCCATGAACATTAGTGCTGGGCCTCTGTTTTCCCACTGGGCGAGGACCACCTGCTCTCTCTACTTCCTCCCCAGCCCTTTGCAGCTTTTTCCTCCAACTTCTGGAATATACGTTCCTTCATTTTCCTTGAGACCTCTGTGTGGGTCTAGTTCATTTCACATTGAGGCTGTGGCTTGCTCATAGTTTTTTTTCTGGGGTTTTTGTTTTTCAAGCTGGATTTTTTTTTGTGGTATAATTTACACGCAGTAAAACTCGCCCTTTTCTAGTGTACAGGTTCATGTATTCTGCCAGATGTGTGCTGTTAGCGCACGTCTGTTTCATCCCAGAGTGGCCCTCTTGCTCATGCACGTGTCCTGGCCCGCGTCCAGAGTGGCCTGCCTGATGTTGACGTGCTGGGGCGTTGTGTGTGCTGTGGGGAGAGCCTGTCTTCGGGGCACGCAAGCGACGACTTCAGACAGTAGGTGGTGCTGTGGGACCGCGTTGGGAGGATGAGGAGGCAGCTCTAAGGGGAAAAAGCCCGTCCTCTGAGAGCCCAGACACCAGGTCCCCTCAGCCAGCTCTTGCTCGCTGGCTGTATTTTCCCCATTGTAAAGGGCCTGTCAGACGGTGCGCGGAACACTGGCAGCTGGTTCAGTTCCGTGAGTGAGCTCATTTGTGAATGAAATTTTATCAAATAATTTCTA